GAGTAAGGCAGCGAAAGCCTCCGCTGCCTGCCCCCAGGACCATGCATCCCGAATGCCGGTCGCAATGACATCGCAGTGTTTGGCAGCGTCCAGCGTGGTAGATTTGTTGATCGCCAACGCCGTACCACGCATGATTACGTCTGTGAAGGCCCACAAGAGACCCTGCCACCTCCAGCGGTTGGAAATAATTCCTTGCAGTCGATACGTGGCATGTGGAATACTTACCAGGGGGTAGTCATTGGGCTGCAGGTGACCTACGTGACTCCCAGGTGTCGGTGCACGACACAGTCTCCATGAGGCTTCCAGATGTACGATATGAAAGGAAGGGGTAAATATCATATCCTCGTACATCCTGCAAGGGTTGCGCAAACTCCACTGCAGCCTTGGAAACTTGTGACCCGACGCGCACAACTGCGTCGCATGTATCAATGAGCAACGCACGAGAGGGACCCTCTCGCACTGACCACCTCCACCTGCGCTGTCGGTAGTCCAACCGCTCCTCCTTTTCCTCCCCGTCTGTGGCCCACGCACAGAAGGCAGCAGCAAGCAGTAATAAGTTGAGCCGTCTTCGCAACATACGTAGTTCTCGTCGTCCAGAATAGTGGCGGTCCATGACCGTCAGCGAGCGAGCCGAGCGCCATGACTGACGCGGCAGACGCCCCGTGGGTGACTTCTGTACGGGGAAGCACTCGGTGACCGCCCGAACTAGCTCGTCGTTCAAATGTTGTGCGTGATGATCTGGGTGCGACTGGAAAGCTGGTGGCTGGATATTTCTGACCATGGTCGCAAACTTTGCCGCGCACTCAGTGTCCTGTTTTTTTCGCATCGCGGTGAATTTTGGCCCGAGAAGAAGTGGCCCGCGCGGGGCCCGCGCTGCCGACTCGCGCGTCGGCCGTAAGAACGACATGATCATCGGACCGCATAGACATATCCACTGTCGGATCAACCCTTTGTCGACTGATCGAATTGAGAGAGGCTTGGTGTACTGAGTGTACTGTCGCGTAGTCAATGCGGCGTCTTGGGTCCTGGGGGGCCGCGCCGGGCGGCATCCACGCACCATGTATGCCGTGGAAAGGTTGCGAAACGTAGACGCCGCACTCTGTCTGGTAGCTCGTGGGAAATCGTGGAACAAGTGCCCAGTGTCGTTTTCCTGCTCGGCTCCCACGGGGCCCTCGTGGCTGGACTGAACCGCCCCGACAGTGGCGCTTATGTCCAGTAGACCAAACAGCGGGGCCTGACCAGGCCGCGTGAGTACAACGTCACGCATGCGTGTCCACCACTGTGCTACCATGTCGAGACCGCCCGTCGCACGTGCATGTGGCGCGCGCGCAACAAGAACATCGATGCGTAGCGAGGGGGCCCGCGCAGCTACAAGCAAATGCCGTGACTCATGTGAGAGTGCCCGAGAATGTCGTCTGTTTAGCGTGCAGCCAGGAAGGTGCTCCAACCCTGCGTTGACCCACAACGCAACCCCGTAGCATCCATTCGCTTCGGCTGCTGACGTGATCGCGACACGCGGATCAACTTCGCGCCAAATGTTGTACCTCAGTCGTGTCTCAAGCGTGCCTACGAATAGATATTGGCAACGTGCAAACTGATGCGCAAGGGCCAGCATGCGGCCAGGGATATGCCAGCTGCATCCTGGTACGTGCATCGTAAACGTATTCCTTGAGAGCGTGTAGGTCGTCTCCGTGGTCGCAGTGAAAGTACGCTAGCGACTGCGAGTTTGAGTTTACAGAAAGACGATGGCGTGGTATCCTGTGGACTGTCTGGGTCTGGATGCCGCCTATCTCGAACCGTCGATCCAACGGCGGGCGACGAGAGAGCTCGCAGAGGGGACACCTCCGCAGGAGCAATATTGTCGATGCGGGCTGGGGTCAGCTTTGAGAACTCCCTCGCACCGCGGTGGGCGTCGGCTGTCAACCATGACCATGGAGTCTTGTCCATCTGAGAGAGTAGTACAGACCAAGGCACCCCGTCTCCCGGACGATCCGATATATCCTTGATCGACACTACGCGAGCAAGTGTACCTACAAGTTCGTTCAGTGGATGCGCAGTGTGTCCTGGGACAGTTAACCATGTTATCACAGCGCGTACTCGCGCGAACTTTACGAGTGAATCTCACAGGATGGGCAACACACCGCAATACCTGTACATCGCACCTCCTGCAACCGCTTCTACCACGATCATGTTATCCGAACGAACAATAATGCGCCTCGAGCGATATATCGATGGCGCCTGAAGGAGCCAACGCGCAAACCAAAGCGCAGCATGAAATCGGCGGGGCTCGACGGGCTCACATGCTCCTCTTTATGTGATGGGGCGGATCCAGCCATGTAACCATCCATCCGACGTTTGCCGTCCTGCGTCGCACCACGCGCAGCAAACGTCCATGATGGTGGCCCCTGCATGTCCGTACTGTCTGACCCTCCTGATCCGTCTGTGTACACTACAAAATGATCAATGCCATTGTCGTGAACACTAATAGAGCAGGCATATTGTCTCATGAAATTAACGGCACCAGAATGAAGACGATGGGGAAAGAGGCATGGCACAGGATGTTGCGTGGATGGCGGCGCCACGAAAATGGGAGAGAGCACTGCGTCTTGCCATTGGGCCGCAAGCAATGCCGCTAAGTTGCCGCAGTTGGGAACGGGGCCGACAGGCGGCATGTCCAAAAAGAGAGGCGAGGCTGGGTGCCCCGGCAGAGCCGCGGCGCTCGGAACCCGCGCGGGCTGATTCCTACTGGCGCCTAGCGGCTCCGCAGGCTGGCTCACCCCTTCTGCGACGGGCTCGCCTGTTCGATATCATCCTCAGAACTCTTGCCAGCGCAAACCTCCTCCGCTTTCGTGCGGCCCGGGCTGCGTTCACGACCTCCGGCGCCTGCTGGCTCCTCTCTACCCATTGGTTCGGGGCGCTCCTCGCCAGGCACCGCGCGTGGAAGCACGCGTCCTGGAATCGTTGTAGAACTCGACGCTGCGATGACTGTCTCCAGGGTGGGTTGCCCAGCTGCCGCCAAGCCCTGGGCCTGCAGGGCTGCCTCCTCGTCCGCTGCCGCCTTCGCGCGAGCCTCGGCAGCAGCGCGAGCGCGCGCCCGCCTATCGCTCATCCGACGCAGCCCGACTGGCATCGGCTGTGGCGTCCTCATCCTTGTCTGCATCCGCTGCGTCAGTCGCTGCCTGTGCCTGGAGCTGAGCTGCCGTCGTCGCAGGGCATGCCGCGGTAGGGGGCTGTGTGGCATCGGCCTGTGGCACCGCGGTGGCGTGCTGCGTGGGCTGCGCAGCCTGGGCAGGATAAGCATCGGCAGCTGGCTGTGTAACTGGAGTCGCCGTAGCAGTAGTCGCCGCCGTGCTCGCTGCCGCCGTCATCCGAGTCAGTGCCGATTGCAGTCCGCCGAGTCCCGTGGCCAGCCCCGCGATCTGCTGTGCCGTGCTCACCTGGCCCTGCTGGAGCTCGGCGATGGCTGCGACCGAGGCACTTGACATCTGGCTAGGTGCGTTCGCCACGGGCGCGGTGGGCGCCGCTCCCTCCAAGACAAGCGTTGCGGTGCCCTGCATCTCGACGTCATTGGCTGCAGCTGGCAGCGGGAAGAGGGTCTTAAGCTGCTGAAGCAAGACCTGTGCACGAGTCAGTTCATTGGCATGATGCTTCTGGACCAGCTGGCGAGCCTTGTGCTCAATCATGGCCTCTTGTGCAGCCTTCTCTGCGCGATCGGAGCGGCGCTGGGCCCGCTTGGCGAGCGCCCGCTGCCTCGCCAGGCGCACTTCTGGAGTCCTGGCCACGATGATCATTGTCATCGGGACTGAGTATTCCTGTTCCTGCGCCTCAAGGATGCTGGTTGGCAGGCCGAGCTCGCGGGTCGCGCGAAACATCTTTGCCGACGCCACTGCCATGCGGCGGAGGTTGCGCCTGTGGTTGACCGAGGGGGCAGGATCCGTCGGTGGCTGCACCCAGGCTGGGTGCGCACGCGCCTGCTCAGGCGTAGCAGGGAGCACATCGAGGGCCTCCTGCGGGCCTGCTGGACGATCCGCCGTCTCCTCGGTTGACTCGGGTTCACTCTCGTCGAACGTGACGTCGGTGGCTGGCGAGCGCCGACGGGATGACCTGCGTCGGGAGGGCACCTCTGGGGCTGGCTCCTCAGCAGGCTCACCGTCTCGCTGCTGGGGTTGGGCTGGCGGCGGAGCACGGCTTGGGCTGCGCTGACGACTGGGCTGAGCGCTGCTGTGCGCGGGCCTTGAAGCACGCCTCCTCCGCCGCTGGTCACGCCCACTTCCTCCGTGCTGATTTCGCCCGCTGCCCGCTTGTCCATGCTGCTGCTGCTGCTGCTGCTGCGGCTGATCGCGGAGCACGCTGACCGCCGCGGGACTCTGCTGCGGCAGCGGGTAGCAGGTCCTGCACGTCAGGTCGCTGGCAGCATTCGCATGCCCGCATGCTGGACACCACCACGGAGGGGGCGGCGGGGACTGCGGGGACTGACTGCCCTTGCCTCCGCCTGTGCCACGGGACTGCCACGCCATCGCGCTATGGTGTGATGCCAAACACCTCGCAGTGTTCAGCAGGCGCAGCACCAGGCGGGCCTGCGCACGTTGCTGTCTGGCACGCCTGTGCCAAGCCGGTTCGCTGCCGCCGCCTCCGCTAGGCCGCGGGCGTGAGCGGGGGCTGCGGGAAACCCGCGGCGTGCCGCCAGCAGCGGGGCGCCCAGGCGCGAGGGCCGCCAGGCACGCCAGGAGCAGCGCGAGGCGCGGCGGGGCCCCGACCGCCCGATGAGCGGGCGCGGGCCGGCGCGCGTGGCTGCTAGCCCCGAAAAAGGTTCGCTGTACCTGGTACAGCGCCCGAAACCTTTCGAACCGGGGCGGCAGCTGAGGAGGGAGGAGGGAGGGAGGGAACAGGGAGGGGGGAGGAGGAGAAGGAGGGAGGACGGGGGGAGGGAGGGAGGGATGCAGAGAGGGAGGGAGGGAGGGAGGGAGGGATGAGGAGGAGGAGGACGAGGCCCCCGCGCCAGGCCGTCAAGGCCAGCCAGGAGCAGGGGGACCAGCTCCAGGAGGGGCGTGGGCCGCCCTCCCCGCGGCCCGCTGTCATCGTCATAAGAGCGACGCAAGAAAAGGGTGTCCATCTTCACCGACCTTGGCGCGTAAGCTGCCCGCCTAAGGTCGCGCGTGAACGCCCTCGTCGCCACTGTGTCTTGTCGCGCCGGCGGCCCGCGCAAGCCACCGTTTGAGGTCGCTGTGCCATCTCGCGTAAGAGCCTGTTCTTGATCGTCGCTCATACGATGCATCGTCATCGCATCATCTTTGTCGTTGTCGTTCATTTTGGCTCAAGCGTTTTCTGCTTGAGTCGGGTCGCGGTGAGGCGACCACATGAGCGAGGTTATACGATTCTCCCAAGCGCCCAACTCGCCGAGACTCTCAGGTGGCCTGCCGAACGATTAATGATTTGTACGTGTGATGCTTTAGCCGATATGCGGAATGAGTTAGCAGTGGAGACACAGCCCATGCGGAAACACAGCAGATGCGAACATCAATTCGTCCTCGGTTGGAGTTGGGCGCACTCTTATCCGAGGCTTCCAGTTGCCCAGGCTTGGACAAAAAAGCGCTGGACTTTACTCCCACGTTGTCCATGGTACTGCCCAAGTGCAACTAAGTCCGTGGGCGAGTCCGAACCCAGTCCAAAAGCGCCAGTGTCCAGAATGGATGGGTCCATTATGGAGTTCAAGAGGCTGGACATCGATGGATCAGAAAGAGACCAAATTTGTGATTTTGGCTGGTATTGCCGAGGCAACTTCAAGGCACTGGATGGTCTTGTCTTTCGGATTCGGCAAAGGTCATTGGGAACGCTTGCCTGATGACCAGTACGTGGATCGGGTAATTTTTGATTGTGGCATGGGCCAGATTTTGGTAAAGATACTTTCCTGGGTGCATTTGTATCTTCATGTGCACGATGCACGTGGCGAGGTATTTCCATTATGTGTGCAACACGAAAGGGCAAGTGAAGGAGGGTTGCGCTTCGATTCAGTAAAACGGGAACTTAGTTGGACTTAGGTCTCAAGAGATGAGAGCACGTCGAGTCAAAGTCAGCACATACTACGACTGCCCCGCACGCCGTTCGGAAACTGGTCTCCTTCTGAGGGGCATGGGATCGCTTGCAGTCAAATCGCGTTATGGGGGTGGGCAACTTTCCTTGCCCCTTCGGCCCATCCTTGGCCACTTTTGCTGGCCGCGTCCCGCTCGAAAAGTGTCGACTTCACCTTCCGAGGCCCTTGCTTTCTTACGCGTGGTGACTGTGTCACAGAGCAGTTGGGCCGTCAAGGCAAGCTGACCAATCATAGGGGACGCGATGAGCTAGACTGCCTTCCAGAGACTGCAGTTTATTTTGATCCAGACGGTTTGTCCAGATATTGAGATTGTGACAAGACTGTATGCGTGCGCTTGCATAACTCCGGCATCATCTCTTCACCAACCGGTGCCTCGCTCAAAATTGTTGAGCAAACATTGTATTTGGGGGGCCTGCTGAACGTTCACTGCGTAAGTCAACCAGAAGTGACAAGAAGCCTTGGTGAGGTCAACGCGACCTTCAAGTGCCTAGCCCGGTGTTGGTCGCACGCCATCATCTGTCGCCGCAGAATAACTGAACTGTACAAAGCCGTTGTGTTGCCGAAGCTGTTTTATCATTTAGATGCTTTGTGGCTGTTGCAGGCGGACAAAGTCGTCTGGATAGCTTTCACACGATACGTTCCAGGCAAATCCTCAACATTCTTAACGCGTATGTTTCACGAGTCCCCAATCAGGAGATTTTGGACAAAGCGTGGGAACTTCCACTGAGCTGCACTTTGCGCGAGCGTCAGACGGCGCTGTGTAATAAGATTGTAGCGTTGTCGGAAGACCCCCCCCCACGATCCACGCTCTGAACGCCCAAGAAAATGGGAACACCAGCGACGCAGGGGAATTCTTAAGAATCAGTGGGATGTAGCCCTGGTCCCTCCCTTTTTTTCCCTCCTCGGTTTCCTCCTTCCCTCCTCCCTTTCTCCGCTTCTCCCTGCTCTATACGATGACCTGCTTCACAGTCTGGCGCTTTGTTTTCTGCGTCACAGTCGTAATGCGCTTTGAGCTCTTGTGCTTCACAATCGTGATGCGCTCCTGCGTTCTTGTGCTTCACAGCCGTGATGCGCTTCTCGTGCGCGCCGCGCGCCATCGCGAATGGGAGTTCCAGCTCGGAGTCGCAGTGGATCCCGATGCTCTTTCCAGTGGGTTCTGCAATTGCACGGTTTCTGATGTTATGTTTGCCAATGCGCCGTGTAGGCGCCAGGCTCGACCGACCGAACAGCATGCGCATAATCTGCGGCACGTCACGGGTAGCTTCGTGTGAGCACGTGTGAGGTTTCGACTAAAGGCTTGCCTTCACATTCTATTTCGAGACTCAAGTATTTGTTCTCGATACTTGGGTGTGCTCTCTCTGTACTGGGTAGTTCACCAACTGGTGGCCATTTCGTTATTCAAGCTTGCG